ATACTAGTATGGCGACTATGCATTCGTAAAAAAATTATTTTTTGTAGTTTTAATATTGTAATATGCATGACAATAAAACCTAAACCAAATTAATAAATAAAAAGTGGGATTCCTATTAAATGAAGAAATACTAACATTAAACATCCTAAAATTAAAAATTTGGTAAATGAATGCTTACATTAAAGTACTGTAAAGGGGAAAAAAAGTGGAAAAAAAATAAATGAAGTAGCCTAATAGATAAAGGGGAAAGAAGAAGAATAAGAAGAATGAGAGCAGAGAGTATTGACCATTGAAAAAACATAAATATAAAATAATAAAAAAAATTATATACTTATTTGGCATATTAAAATATAAAAAATAAAAAATTAGAAAAAAAAATTGGATACTTATTTGGTGTATGTGTATCCCTTACGTATCATGCCATATTCCCTCAAGTATCCTTCGCCTATCCCTCTTGTATCTAAAATTAAAAAAAAAAAGAAAAAAAAAGGGATACGTATTTGCCGTATCCGATATGTATCCCGCCATATCAGATGCGTATCCATATCCAATATGTATCCGATACTTGTACAATACCGTTTTTGGAGTATTTGTGCTTCATAGTATTGTCCTAGTGATAGTGGTGGAGGTGGTGGTAATAGGATGTTGGTGGTGTGGTGGTTGTGGAGGCAGTGTTAGTGGTTATAGTTGTGGCGAAGGCGAGAGTGTAGTGATGGTGGCGGCAATAGGGTGGTGGTCGTGGTGTTGGTGGTGGTCATGGTGTTGGCAGTGGTAGTAACGGTTGTGGTGTTAGTAGTGGAAGGGGTGGTAGTAGAAGGGAATGATGGTTTTAGCAAACTGATAATGTTTTATAGTGATTCTATGATGGAATGGAATGGCTATTTCATTTTGTTGGAATGACCATTTCATTGGAATGACTATTCCTACTTAAAAAAGCTGTACAAAACAAGGGAAATGGAATACATAGTTAGAATGAGCATTCCATTCCAACCCATTCCATTGTACCAAATGTGTTCTAAGAGTGTTGGAATGAATGCAATGGTTACACCCAAAATTATGTTTAAAAAGATATCCCTGTGCATAGCACTAGTCTACTGCTAGTATACACACAGAAATGCTAGATTCCCACAATTGAGATTCTCAAATTCATCCACATGTGGCCAGGGTGTTGGTCTCTGCATAGTTGAGTGTATGAAAAATCAAAATTTGACACTTAAAAATTCCATCTGACCGCTAATAAATTTCTCCAATTTGACCTACAATGACATGGCTTGTTAGGTGTCAATTTTTGATTTATTACGTACTCAACTATGTAAGGCCCAACACTCTTGCCACATCATTATTGTGGCTAAATTTGGGAGTCTCAATTGTGGGTCTCTAGCATTTCTTTATACACAATTATATGTGTATAGTACATCACAAAACATAGTTTACAAGAAGTATATGCTAATTCAATTGAACATTTACAATCCCCGTGCTAGTTCATTTTTTAGGTTCTTCATTAATTTTTAAGTTAATTATAAGTTTGTTTGAACAAAAATAAATATTATATATTTTTGAATTCTCAAAATTATTCTTGTCCTAAAAAAGAGAAAATTATATGAAAATAATGCGTTTTTTAATTTTTTGCTAAACTAGTTTTTAAAATTTTTAAAGCAGTTTCTATTTGATCAATATACATTTTCCCAGAAGTGCACACTTCTTCGAAGTTCCAACAAAAACATCCATATTATAGCAATTGATGATTGTGAGACACAGAGGGGGTGTGATTACAAATTTGTGTCTGGGTTTCTTGACAGAGTTGTTCTTTTATCGTCAAGTTTCAGCGTTTATCTTCTTTAACACTGAAAAAACTAAAATCTTCGAGATATTGATTCGTGATTATATTTCAATTTTAAATAGTGAATACCAATCTTAATCAAACAATCAATAACAAATCAACATAACGATTTAACGTTGAAAAAAATACAATTGGAGCGCCTCCAATTGTGATAAAAAAAAAATCATGGGTCAAAGTCACAAAACAATCCACTAAGAAGATAAAAACAAGAATTACACAAGAGAACTCTCAATTACCTAGTGAATCCAAGCCCGAATTGAACCAAACCCCGATCTGCCTCTTCTAACAATGTCTTAACCACTAAATTGCTTTACCCAACGTTAAATCTACAATGCCGATGTCGAATCCACGACGATGAGCCAATCCTTAATCTACCAAAGCTTCATGTCCAAATTTCCCGGAATCCACCGAAGAACACCTGTCTCTTTTGTGAACATAATAGTAAAAACAATCCCTTGATGAAGTCAATATGAAGCTCGTAGATTCATTGATCACTCTCAAATCATCAAGGAAACACTTAAAAAACACCCTCCAATATACTACACTTTGGTTTTTCTTTCTCTCTAAAAGTCTAGACGGGTTAAACCCTAAAAACAGCAAACGACGCACTTCATAAAAAACAAGATCGCGAATATAGGTCAACCGCTCGAGCGCATACATAATCAGCGAAGTGGAAAACATGTAAGGCTCAATATCACAAACTTCTCTGCAAAGGCACAATTTGGATTAGATTCGCATCTAAACACTCGTATCCTCACTGAAACAAAAGAGCGAGTAAAATTACAACTGAAAGGAGTTTTGTCAAACGGGATTGCCAATTACAAAACCCTAACAAACATAAATCATATTTGAGACGTAAACCAACCTAAAGGAACCTAAAAAGTTATGAGATTGCTATCACTCATAGTCTGTTTGAGAAATTAGGAGAGAAAATAAAGAAAGGATTAGACAGAGAAAAAAAATAAAATATAAGAAAATAGAAGATGGTGGTATCTTTCATTATTGTTTGGATAAAGTGGAAAAAGAAAGTAAAGAAAATGTCATCCTCCCATCGTGTTTGGAAAAGATAAAGAAATAAAAGAAAAGAGAGTAAACCCGGTGGTCATAAGAATTAGGAACAAAATTGGTAACTAAACTCTTGTTCCCTTACTTTCCAAATCTTTCCACTTTGAAAAGATTCAAAAATGTGGATTTAACTTGTTGACAAGCGTAGACCGGGTTGTAAAGGATTTGGTTTCTCTTCATTTCTCTCTTGTAAAGCTATTGTGATTAGGAAGGAGAGTGTTCGTTTTCTTTTGTCTCCAAATCAATCAATCCAAATGGATTGTTTGTTTTGCCAGTAGTCACTTGGAGATGGTGACTGGTTAGAACAGTTCTTGTTAGGGTGGTTGCAACTTGCAAGCTGCTTTCTAGTTTCAACCACTTGGTCTAATAGGTGTGTAACACCATGTGTTGATGGCTTAGGCCTTTTGAACTAGTTATTTGTACTCAGTAATACCCAATAACGTAGGCGTTGTTTTCAGGTAGCTGGCTCCCTTTTGCTCCATTGCCCGAACTTCATAATACTGATGACTTTCCTTGCTGCCCAAAACTGACTCAAATGCTGGATTGGTTGATTGAAAACCTTTATGAGACTCAGTTTTGTTTCTCCAATTTCTTTAAGAGTAGATTTGTTTGATCATTTGACTCCCTAAGGCTGTGTTTGGATTAATTTCTTTAAGAGTAGATTTGTTTGATCATTTGACTCCCTAAGGCTGTGTTTGGATTATAGATTTATGGAAATGAAAAGGAAAATGTGACGAAAGTGTGAATGAAATATAAGCTAAATTTTTTTCTCCATTTCTCTCGCATTTTCCTTTTTTTTTCTAAATCCTTACCAAAATTCATCATCCAAACACAGCCTAAAAGAGTCCAAGTTATTGCTTATTTGGTTGGAAATGATGTGTATCCCATGTTTGTTTAGTCACGGGATTAAAAGTTAGGTAATGAGATGTCCTAAGTATTTGGAGGGAAAAATTGTCTTTTTACTAGTTAATCCAGAGGAGGGCTGTGTATCCCACCCCTCTACCTAGGACAGGATAGTCCCACATATGGGGGACTAACAGTCCAGTTAGACTATTTGTCCAATCTACAAATTTTCAACCAAAAAACAGATTACTCGATATGATGGACATGGAGTCCAATCCCTTCAAACAAACACCGCCAAATTTCCATGTGACAAAAGTTGAGCTGCTGTTGGGAAAGTCTTGTCCTGAATACTGACAGCTGGGAAAGTTCTTTGTCTATGAACACAATTTGGACTCTTGTGGGTATAACAATAGTTTAGGTGCTAGGGCAACTGTTGAGAAGATAGATAGAGATGTCAAGAACATGGCATAATTTAGGATCATATATGCTTATAAATAGGAAAGGATTTAGGAGTAGCATCTACAGATGTAGTATGTTCTTCATTTACAGTTAAGAATCTTAAGACAAGTGGAAAATAACAGGTTTTGCCACCTATACTCTTTCCGTGGACTTGGATGGACAAGTTCTGTAGCTAAGCAAGAGGTGCATCTATGACCTGGTAATCATATTGTCTTAACTGTGGTAATAAAGACTGAACTTGGGCAATCAAATGCTCACAAAGAAGGAATCTAGAATCGAGAAGAACATTAAACACACACAAGCAACTCAAAAGATTTACGTGGTTCACTTACGTCCACAGAGTGAGTGCAGTTTTACTAAGATCTGAATGGAGGAATTAGAAGTCTCTTACACTTAATGTCACAATTAATACAAATATTTCTTTATGAATGGGTTCATTCATTTTGACTACTTTATCATATTAATTTCTACTCTACCTTCCTGGAGTTCAACAGAGGATGCTGTTTGAGTTCAAAACTTAAATTATCTTTCTACGTCAAGGTTCATTCTAGGGAACTCTTGTTAGTTATCACGATTAGTTACTTAACATCTCTTGGCGACTGTGTGCCATAAGGACTTCAAAATTTGGTACATTGCTGCCTTAAACTAATTTTAAGCCCTTAACTCATGGCTAATTTCTTTTGCATGAGAAACGGACCCTATAAAACTCTTCAAACTTCATATTCGTTTTACTTCATTTATCTTTCATGTTTTTCTTTGCTTCCCTCAATGTTAGATGCTAAATTTCATGCAGATTCAAGGATGTCCAGGATGGTGGATGAATTAGCCAGGGCTCAAATTCAAGATGGTTATGTCTCATATCCATGGGAGAGGAGAATGCAAGAGTCGCTACCAGTTCCCAATTCAAGCTGTTTTCTTTCTATGCTCCTCCTTCCGAAAGCCTCAGATAGAGTTGTTTCTCGCTACAATGATTTGGAGGACACACTTGCTAGAGCAAATGCATGGCTTAATGCCTCTCAGGCATCAGGGGTGCCTATAGTTTTCATGAACATCCAGACTGAATCTCTGCTTACCAAGGTAATTTCAGGGGGAAAAAAAAAAAAGATTAAGAGAGAAATGTCTTAAAACTTATTGAACTCCTTGGGCTGTCAGAGGTGATAAGTAACGAGGCATTTGAAAATATTATGTGATAATGCGGCTGCATAAGCTTTGTATGGATGTGATTGCAAGAGGTGTGTGTTAATACAATCGACACTCTAATAACTAATAATCTTGGGAGATGCAAGAATTATTAAATATTAAGTTTATCCTTAATTTTTGGTAAAGAAAAACTTTCTTATATAAGCTTGAGCAGAAGAGTGATCTATGAATGCATAGTAATGAAATATTTTAGTGGAAAACAAGGATGGAACCAGGATTTTATCACTGGAGGGGCCAAAGACAAATAATTTTTTTTCACATATATACAAAGACACGTGTATGTACAATATGATATATAAATTATATATACACAGAAAAAAAAAATTAAATACCATAAAAGCAATCTCTAATAGGATGAAGTTTTTTTGATGCAAAATAAAAAGAGAATGCAAAATGAGAAAACAATGAGATATATATTTTATATTGGGGATAATTTTATGTATAAAATGATATATACACACATATATATATATATATATATATATATTTTAAGTGCTATGACAAATAATATTTTTCATAGAAATACCCTAGTTCCATCCTTGGCGGAAAACATGTGTTATTTCTAATTTTAGTTGTGAAGAAGTTCCCAATCCCCTTTTATTTATCATTACTGTACTGATGTTACTAGTTATTCCTATCCATTATATATTTATGTACAAGAGTAGTTTGTGACTTGTTTATTAAAATTTAAAACAAGTATTTGAAATTTCAAAATGAAGTTCCTTCTTCATATATGCTCATCCATTCAAAAAGCATTGTTTTCCCTTTCTTGCATTAATTATTTAGTGGCCATACAAGTGCCATTCTTTCTTGGCATGCTTTTAAATGCAACTAAAAGTTGAGAAGATATAACTGACTGATCATTTCATAAAATCAAAAACTCTTACAGATGAATACACAATATTCTCAAAGTGCTCATATTTGTTAGTTTTACCCATTTGAATTTGTTAACCCTTAGTAAAATTTGAAATGTCACTGTGTTTCTTCTTTCATCATGGATCAGATATCCGGAGAGACGGCTTCTTCTACTGTGAATGCTGGGTCATTGTCCGATTTATCAAACCTTGCAAATGCAAGCCTGTATGGCTTTGAGGACTACCATGGGGTGGACATTGGTGTAGTCAGAGCAGTTCGTCTCTGGTATTCTCCTCTTGGAGGAGAGGTTTCTTTTGAGATTAAGCTAAAAGAAAGTGACACAAAGCTTGGTTTTGCCATTAGTCGCACAGAAGAGGTTAGTCCCTCATTTTTTATGCCTCTTGTTCAATTGTAGCTTGGTTTTGCAACTTAAGACAGGAGTGCATGTCAGGCCTCCATCTTTTCAAGAAAAAATTTGTTCCCATTATCATAGTTATCTGACCGTTTTGCCTTTTTTCTTTTCCATGTTTCTTAAACATTAAAATAAAGATAATTAATTGATTTTTCCTAGAAATTCTAAAATTGCCAATAACAATTTAGAATAGAAAACAAAATGTAAAAATAACAACATATAAAAATAGAACAGAATGAAAGGAACAGAATAGGAAAAATCTAGCCATGAGAATGTGAGGTATTATTCTAAAGTCGTTGTTCCTCCTAAGTGAAGGTGCTAACAGAGTGCATGACCCGAAAATTCAACCCAAGTACTCACAACCTGCATAGTCCATTGATCCCACCAGAAGAATATGAATGAATCTCGAACCAAAGTTTCCATGAAAATACAAAATAATAGATGAACTGTTATGGGGGAAAACAAAATACATATTTTTCTCTATGATAATTCTCATTGTGTCAAACCCTTGTTTGAAGATTCAAGTATATTTAGGAAGAAATGTAACCTAATTGAATGAAGTTTCAATAATTAAAAATAAACCAAACCAAGCCAATGTAAGCTTTTTGTCTTAATCAAATGAGATCGACTAAATGAATAATTTTTTGCCATTCTGCTATATGAAGGGCTAACAATCAGTAATAATAAACAAAACACGACCACTATTATATTGCTCAACATAAATTTTTTAAATTTATTTTATTGAGGCAATAAATCAACACTTAATTTTTATTAAAATTTTCAACATATTCCCCCCCTATGTTGATCTTTTATAACAGCCAATGCACAGAAGATCTGGGTGGTCAGAAGCAAAATTAAATTAAAATTGTGTGGTTGCCAGCCACGACTTTGAGGAAAGTATATGCCTGGAATGTCTACTGGTTTAATCACTTCAGCGTTGGACAAAGTAATTCAATCAAGAAACCATATATATATATATATCATCTTCACCCATAGGTTCAAAGCATTGCCATGTTGCTTTCTCTCTTTTGAGATGTAGTTGTCAAAATCAGCCAATCTGCTGTTAGAAGTGTATCTTCTTGAAGTTGCTTTAAATCACATACAATGCGCTCTTCTTTGATAATCAATAAGTTGCTTTTTCCCTTTATTCATATGCTTTTTCCTTTGCTAAGTCTTGCTCAATCTTCCTTTTTATTAGGGATTTATTTACATTTCTTCGGTTATCGATTCGGATGACAATGCACCTTCAACACGATCAGGACTCAGCAACCTGTATAACGAGGCAACAAGAGCATCTAAGCTACTAGTGGTTTCAAGAGTGTCTAACCAAAAAGTCCTTCCTTGGATAGTTTCTCCAACAGGGGCTGTCCGATGCTTTGACACTGTTTCGCTCAGCCAAAAGCTCTCATTGCACCGACATGCCAGGGTGCCTATTCTCCTTCATGTGTTCTTGTGGGACCGAGACTTGGCTTCTACAACTGGGTCCAACACGAGGTTCAGGGCTACTTCCCCATCAGTGTTGCCATTACCACCTGAAATTCAATTGGTACACCTTCCAAATGAGAATCAGTTTGTACCATTGCCTTCTGAAGTCCCAAGTGGGAGTGAAGTCCTCGATGATAGGACAGAAAACAGGCTTGATAGAGATACTGCGGGAGAATTCTCCTTTCGGTTACATGATTTTTCACTACCGAACAATTGGGTATGATTTTTTTTTTTCTTCCTCTCTTCTTGTTTATCTTTGTTGATGTATGTAAGAGGGGCATACCGTTCTTTACAGTTGGAGCCAGTTACTCATCATTTGCGTGATTTAGAAAGCTATAGTTCAATTCTCTCTTTTAGGAATACATAATCAGCGTATAGATAAGTTTGTGCCTTGTCATGTGGATGTTTCAATGTAAAGAATGTTTTTGTGATTGCTAGTCAAAAACAATCTTTGTGTAACTTGAATAAGGTACTTGAGATTTTTCAATGGCTTCTCTAACATGAATATATTATATATGATCACAAAGACAGCTGACCATGTTTCTGATGTTAATTTACCAATTAGGTTTTTGTGATCAAATTCATTGACTTTCCAATCTGACTGTCTAATTTATGAGTTGCAAATGTAACTTTCATATGGATTACACAAGGCAATGATATGATACATTGTCTAAATAGGCACAATAGAAACGTGAAGATGGGAGAAGAAGGGGTTGGCCAGTTTGTATGGAGTTTTGCTCCAACTTTAGTTGAGCCTCTTACTAGTGGACGGTGAGATTAATCCTTCAAATTAATTAATCCAGTGAGTCAGATATGGGTTATCTAAAAAAAATAAAAAAATGAAAGAAGAAAGGAAAATGGAAGAAGAAAGGCCAAACCCATCCGAACCCGCCCAATTGTCATTCCAACGAGTAATACTATATAAATTGGAAAGTTATACTCCGTCTGTCTCAAAATATTAGTCTCTTATTCTATTTTTCATTATTTCAAAATATTAGTCTCTTTTCAAAAATTAAGTACAAAAATAATATAAATTTCTTATTTTGTCATTTTTTTTTAAATTCACTAATAACATAAAAAATACAATTATGACATTGAGGTTTCTCAAAAAATGTACTATTAAAGGGTAGTTTTAGAAGATTAATTTTTTTAAAGTGCAGTAATTGTACTACCAAAAAAAGTTAGATTCTCCAAAAGGAACCATTATTTTGGGACGGAGGGAGTATAAATTATTTTTTTGGGTACGAAATGATGTGGTTGAATTGAGGCGATTCATTTAAAAACAGAAAAGCATTTGTAAAGATGATTCTTAAAGTTTTGTTTGGTCCATCAGAATAGGGTACAATAGGATGGAATGTTTATTCCTTTAGAGTATGTTTGGTACGAAGGAATGGAATAATAGTGAGAATGGAATATAAGGTTGAATAGAATGAAATGTCTATTCTTATTATATTGTTTGATTGTCAACATAAAATGACATAGAATTAAAATGATAATTCTCATTCTCATGTTTGGTTATGTCTATTAAATTAATAGAATGGAATAAGTTTATCATTTATATATTTTTTTAATAAGCTAGTAACAAACAAGTTAAAATTTCATATAGATCATGATAGTGTTAGGAGTTGTGGAAGTGATGGTGTGAGTTATAATAGTGGTGGCAACAAGGATGGTTTCAGTGGCGGTGGTGGTGGAGGTAAGGTGGGGTTGTGGTGGTTGTGGCAACAATGGTAATGGTTGTGGTGTAGTAGTTGTGGTAGTGTGGTAGTGGTGGTGGACAAGGGTAGTAGAATGGTGGTAGTGGTTGGGTAGTGTTTCTAGCGATAGTGGTGGTGGTTTGGTGGTTATAGAAGTGGTTGTGGTAGTGACAATGGTAGTAGTGACGACATCGATAGTTCATAGTAGGGTGGTGGTGGTGGTGGTGGTGGTGGTAGTGGTGGGTGGTGGTGGAAGTGGCGGTGGTTGTGGCGGCAACGGTGGTTGTAGTTGTGGTGGCAGTGGTAGTGACAATGGTAATGAAGTGGTGGTAGTGGTGGCAATAGGGTGGTGGTTGTGGCATTTGCGGTGGTAGTAATGGTGGTAATAGAAGGGATAGTAGCAAAAAGGAATGAATAGTGGCAGTAGCTAATTGATAATATTTTATGATAATTATATGATAGAATGAAATGACTATTCCTTAAGTTGGTGGAAGCAATAGGTATTCCCCATATTTTGTTGAAATAGTGAAATAACTATTCTTACTTATATAAGACACATGAAACCAACGAAAGGGGGTGCAAAGTTAGAATGTGATAATGCTTTATGGTAATTCTATGAAATGACTACTTCTTAAGTGGGTGAAAGTAATAGGCATTCCTACATTTTGTTGGAATAGTGAAATGACTATTCCCACTTTTACCTACCCAAAAAAAGACTATTCCCACTTAGCTAAGACATATAAAACTGGTGAAAATGGATGCAAAGTTAGAATGTGCATTCCATTCAAGTCCATTTTACCGTATCAAACATGTTTAGCGTTCTTATGGAATGACCATTTATTTACCCTAGTGAATAATAAATCCATTTTCAATTCATTTTTCATCATCAATTTTAGTAAACGAAATATAAAAATGAATGTTTTGATAGAATGATCATTCCATTCTTATTTATTCTAATGAATCAAATACTTAGGTTATGTGTTTGGTTTGGTTTTCAAAAATTTCTTTCGGAAAATTTTATAAAAAATAAAAATTAATTTGGTGAAAGAAATAAAAAAATCAAAAAAAACTTATCATTTTCATATATTTTATCTTTTAGGAGAACATAAATAATCTTTAAAAAATTATAAATATTTTCTTAATATTTATTTTTATCAAATTAATTTCTATTTTTTCAAAAAGAATTCTAACTTCTTTTTTTTTTTTGAAATACAAACCAAATAGTGTTATAATTTTGAATGCATTTATACAAGACATGAAGGTATTGATGAAGGATGAAGAGATTAAGGAGAGGTGGAAGAATTATTTTGAGAAATTGTTAAATGAGAAACATGGAGGAAGATCAAAAGGGGAGGAAGTAGCCAGTAATAAGAAAAACAAAGACTACAGGTTCTATCACAGGATTAGGAACTTTGAAGTGAAGATTGTACTTAAGAAGATGAAATTGAATAAAATTTTAGGACCCGATGATATTCCTATTGAAGCTTGGAAATGTTTGGGTAAAAAGGAAGTTACTTGGTTGACTAGGTTATTTAGCAAGATTTTATTGACTAGAAAAATGTCAGAGGAGTGGAGAAAGCGTATTTTAGTGTCAATCTATAAGAATAAAGGTGATGTCTAGAATTGCAACAATTATAGAACAATCAAGTTGATGTGTCATATAATGAAAGTGTGGGAGAGGGCAATGAAACGTCGATTGCGATGGAACGTTGATTGCGAGATATAACAAAGGTATCAGTGAATCAATTTGGATTTATGCCGGGTAGTTCAACAATGGAAGCAATCTATCTTTTGAGAAGAGTAATAGAAAAGTATAGAGAAAATAAAAAAAACATTCATATGGTTTTTATCGATCTTGAGAAAGTAGATGATGAGAAAGCAGATGATGGAGTGTCTCAGGATATAATCTGATGGGTGTTAGGGAAGAAAGGTTTGACAAAAGGTGTGACGCCTCAAAATAATAACCAATATTTATCCCAAGACAATTATTAAATAACAATGCATTTTCGAACATAATATCCTTCCATTCATATGATTCCATTTTACCAAAAAAGTAACACATGCAGTAATACATTCATAAGTCCTAATTCTGAATATATAGCATGTGTCATAAGCAAAAGACATAAAATAAGAGTTAAACAGGTAAATGAATGCGTTAATGGTTACAACTTTCCAAGTCGATACTTGGTTAAGACAAAAGTGAGTTTAAAACTCAATACAAGTAAAGCCCTAGGCATGCACAAAATAAATACAACAAAAACAAAACAAGAAGCTCTTGGCTCCAAGTTCTTCTAAGCTACGGCCTTGGCGGAGGCATGTCATTAGCACCTGAAAATGATTTTCCACATAGGGTGAGCCAAAACCCAGTAGAGAAACTCTAACACTAAGTATGAATCTTAACAGAGTTATAAGATGAATGCATATGTAATGCTTATGCCAAAATATTTTAAATCCCCTTTCAAAAACCATGTAATGCCAGGTTTATATCACAATTCATAAAATCATTTTGTGACACCCCAAAAATTGGGAACATTAGAGAATATATTAACAATTAAATACAGGATTTATCTAAGGTTACAAGAGTAGGAAACATCACTAATGAGTCCTTTGGCTAATAACCAAGCAAGATCCCAAAAAAGTTAGAGGAGTTGAAATAGCCTCCCTTCAAAGTCCAACCACCTTAAATAGCAAAACTATCATTTTGACAAATCTTAACAAGATATTAACACAGGGTCTACATGAGTCGACGAGTTAATTAGGAATAAGTAATATAAAAGATATGCATAGATATATAATAATTACAAAATCATGTCTTAAATACAACATGGGATCTATCACTTACAATCTCAAAACACGTTTACAAACTAGTTTCTAATCCTCCTAGGGTAGCCGTACGTCCTCAAATGCTTCAGCTTTGCTTTTGATCGGTCTAATAGTCTTCAATACCTAACATGAAATGCCATGAGTTTTGAATGCCCAGTAAACGCACACACAGCCCGTCTCATTTTCCCAATCCAATACACCATCACATTTATAACAAACAAGTAATGAAGCATGATATTCAAGTCAATACAAGGATTATAAGGTTAGATGTTAGTAGTCTAGAAATCCGCCAAAGAGATTTCATTCTCCCAACCGCAAGAATTGGACACCAGACTATTCAGAACTCCCTCTTTTGCTGCTTTTGTTGCAGAACTTATCTCGGATGCCTATCAACGGTTATATACCGCGTAGCGCCAACCTCAGGGCCTCAAAAGGGACAACGAAAAGAAAAATGTTATATCACCCAGAATCCAACCTTATCCTTCCAAAAAAGTTTTATCCTCCTAAATGTCCCATTCGGATGCAACCTTATCTCACCAATCAAACCATCGCAAAGAGTCCAAATATATCCGTTCTATTCTAGGGTTTACGCAACAACCGCTTGCGTAAGACTTAATATTCAATTAGGGAGCACATCCCATCAATCCATACTTAACACATTATCATCCTTCATTATTCAAGTGATCGAAAACCCAATACCATCCCAATTAAGGTTTTTGTTGGGTTAGATGTCTTTAATTAAGGTTAAAATAACTTGACAAGATAGTAATATCCACATAAGCATGAGCATCATCAATCGAAGAAGATAAGGAATATAACCATAATATATTCAATATCATACCAAGACATGATCATGTACTAATAAGCATATTCATGAACACAAGAGCATAAAACACCCATGCAAAACTAAATTTCCAGATTCAGTACCATTTAAAGATTAAAATCAAGAGGGCGATTTCAGATTTTTCCCGAACTCGGACTTGTTATGGTTCGTAGAGAATTTAATCTAGTTTTTAGAATATGTTTCGGAAATGTGATAGCTTTTTTAGATTTTTAGTTATTTAAGAAACACTCCAGCGCTGTCCAGATTCGTTGATTATTACGAAAATCGGAGTTTCTTACAAACCGATCACTCTTTTTCAATGAAACCAATTTTCCTTGAATGCTAGCTCCTTAAGGAATATTTTGACATAAAACTAAGTTCTAGAATATTTTTCTACATTTTTCTAAAATTTTCGAAAGTTGGCTGTAAAATAGATTTTTCTGGCACAGTTCTTGAAATAAGAAAGTTGGTGAGACAAGGGGTCAACTAGGGGAAATTTTCCACTTCTCTTGTGATGAAAACATGATAAATAATATGTATTAAACTCAGAAATTTAAGGTGAATGTGTGCCTTTGGAAATTATGAGAGTTGATATGAAAAAAGGTAGAGCATGTATTTGAAAGGAAAAATAAGAGAAATACAAGAAGGGTAAAATCAAAGCTCAACTCCTTTCATTTTTAACACAAGAATATTATCAAAACACATCTGAAATGAATTTTTAAAACTTCTAAGAGCATGTATTTGAAAGGAAAAATAAGAGAGAGTTGTGTTGTGTCTTACTTGAGGCTTGATTAAATTGTTAGCAAACTTTCTTTTTCTCCTATCCTCCACCAAGCTCACCCTCCTCTCTTCCTCTTATTTCTTTCTCTCAACTGAATGTGTAGGTGTGTGTAAGCATTGTTCTTGTGTGCAAAATGCTAAGGGTGAGGTTCCTTTTATAGGAAAATTCACTACAAGAAATTGCACTTTTGGCGACTAAATTTTTAGTCGCCAAAAGCCAGATTTAAGTTGTCGAAAAGTTTTCCCGACTAAATAGTTTGGTTGCCGGCTTGGTCGCGGAAGGATTGTTGGGGAAGGTATTGGCGACTCAAAAAATTTTAGTCACCGAAAGTCCTAAATTGGCTACTAAACAATTAGTCGCCAAAAGTAAAGGTATTGGCAACAAAAAAACACTTTAGTCGTTGATAGGCTAAATTGGCGACTGATGTTTTAGTCACCAAAAACTTTCAAAAAAAATTAATCACATTTTTAGCGACTAAAATGTTAAGTCGCCAAAACTAAAATTATTTTCCACGACTAATTTATTTAGTAGCCAAAAAGTTTTTTTTGTTCATCTTATGTTTTTTAGCTACTAAATGTTTTAGTCTCCTAAAGTATAATTTTTTTTAGCTACTAAAAATTTAGTCGCCTAAAGTCTATTTTTTTATTTGGCTACTAAAATTTTAGTCGCCAAGAGTTTTTTTTCATTTTTTTTTTTAGCCACTAACTATTTAGTCGCTAAAAATATTTACTTCCTTTTTGGCTACCAATTATTTAGTGGCCAAAAACATGATTTTTTTTTTCTTTTTTTAAATTTTAAATTCGTCCATAACCTGTATGCATTCTGTGCAACCTATACCATGTATATAAACAAAACAATACATATATTATCAATCATTTTGCAATTTGCATCCATTTCACTTCCAACCATCCAAAAAGGAATAACTTTTAATATCAAATGCCATACAAACTAAGTTAACTTTTAATATCAAATGCCATACAAACTAAGTATATTCCAATCTAAAATAATAATTCCATGCAAAAGTAGTAATAAGGCAACTTGTAATCTTTTAGAAAAATTTCTTTGGGCATGTCCATTTTGGATTCTTCAACTTGCTTTGGTAAGGGTTCTGTTGCAACTGAACAAATTAGCCTCCCCTTCTGAATTGCTTGGCCTTCTAAAAAAGGTTGAAATTCACATAATGAATAAAAGTGAGCATGAAAATTGACATAATGTGAATTTATGAGAGTGATAAATTCAACAATAACAACTCACGGGTAATGAAGGACAAGGAAACCGACAATTTTTCCAATGTGCAACCTAACACAGACAAATTATTAGAATCTTTAATTGAAATTCCTAAGCTTGAAGTGACCTAAAGAAATGAACCGAGTACAGAAGCACCTAGAAATCTAGGATGTAAGAAGTTATTGTATGAAATGTGTACCAACCTCTAAGCTAAGGTAATGTCTGGAGATTTTTTTAGCAGGATTCTCAACAGAACTAACATGACAAGAGGCTTGATACTGCAATAACATATCAGAAATGTGAGTTTTAAAATGTTAGGATAGAAGACAATTTTCTACGAGCAAAGTCGAGGTAGATATGTAGTATTACAATCGGCTTTTATTTTTATACGTATCATGTATGTCTAACTTTTTAATATAGACTAATATACACATGAAGTCTACTCCACCAATATATTAGACTATATGCTTGGCCTATATCTCTAGAAAGGTGTGAGACCATTGTGATGGTCATTAAAGTTAATTTTTTTTAAATTTGATTAATGGAGTTACCAAAAATTAGAAAAATGAATAAAAGAAATTAGAGAGGTGTGTCTTTACTTTGACTTGTGTATGTCTCACAATAAATATATACTGCTTTCTGTCCAAGAACCCAAGTCTTCTAAAGAAACAAAGCCACCTTCACCACAAGCATCTTCAACCCATTTTAGAAGAACCTTTGTTACACACACACACACACACAGATGGGAAGAGCTCCCTGCTTTGACAAGGAAAATGTGAAGAGAGGGCCATGGGCACCTGAAGAAGATGCAAAGCTGAAAAAGTATATAGAGAAGCATGGGACTGGAGGGAATTGGATTGCTCTCCCACAAAAAGCAGGTAATTCGTATATATATATACTTGAAAGAAATCAAAACCCTTCTCAAGATATTCATAAACCAAAAGAGTAAACCAAATTTACTCCATAGATAGCATAATATCACCCACAAAGCCAAACCATTACATAGATAGCATAGTATCACCCACAATTTTGCTGCATTGTTCAACAAAAATAGACCTTTTCATCTTAAAACACAAACAACTTAGAAGTACATAACTTGTTCATCTTAAAAAAAATCTTATGCATCACAAAAATTCAGCAGATTACTATGCATCACAAACCAATTGTCAAACAGAGCATTAGTATCAATAAATTGCTCGAGCAGGTTACTATCGAGCAGATTAAAATTGCCAGCAGAAAATTGCTCAACCATCTGCATCAATCTTGCCAGCAGAAAATTGCTCCAGCAGATTACTATCGAGTACATTAGTATCAATAAAAACAATTAACAAAAATCCACAAAACTCAATTAAAATTGCTCCAGTAGATCATTCCTATGCATCACAAATATACTGTCAAACAATTGGTGAGCAAACTAGAGATGCTTTGGGGTCCATATATACCTAAACAATTCATTTCTACATGTCACAAACCAAATGTTGAACAGTTGGTGAGCCAAAAAAATATAGATGTGAACAAAAACAACTTGAACAAATCTGGCAAGATTGAAAAAAAATCTAATTCAAAATCAACATAAACAACAAATTTGAACAGATTTTTTGAAAACAATTAAAAATATGTTTTTCTATTTAAAAATGTTGCCAAATACAAATAAAAACAAAGACAAGCTTTGCCATCAAAATCTTGCAAGGAACAAAGAAAATTACCTGCAATTTATGTTGGATTTTTGTTTGGAGAAGAAACTGATGAGGAGAATAAAGAGAGAGAGAGAGCCATTGTATTGAAGAAGAAAAAAAAATAGTTTTTTAATATCTAGACAGACTTCAACCCTCGCTAGATGCAACAAGGCTTCCGTACTGCTGCTATTCTGGCCCGGCAAGTAGCGAGACTGATCGAGTGACTTTTCCTGCAAATCCTTTGCCAAGTTAGCTAACAGGTACGTTTGACGCATCTGATGGAGATGCGCTAAGTAATCCAATCATCAAAACTAAAAATCAAAGAAAAGGTAAGAACATATACACGGTCGGTTCGGGTCAGGTTGAAGCTCTATCCACTACCGAACCGGAATAGTGCCGTGGGTGAAAAATCAACTGATTTAGACTGGATTTGTTGGCGAAACCGCCCGTAGATGATTTTCGGTTTAACGGTCGGGTTCGGATCGATTGGACGGGTTGGGCCTTCAATTTTGGGCCTTTATGAATAAATATTATTTTTAACCCATTTAACATTCAAATAACCCAATTTTATAATTTAGTTATGTTTTGTTTTGGAAAATGACCCAAACAGCCCTTTCTACAGATGAACTCATTAAAAAAAAAAAACTTAATAATTTATTTAAAATCAGTCCAAACAGCCCATTATGAATAAAATAAATAACTTCTAAAATAAATCCAAGCATAAATAGCCCAAACTAAAATATTTCATTCATTCAAAAATAAAAAAATAGTTTGGCTTACTAAATGAATAACCTATGTAAAATCAATCCAAAAACAAACAACCTGCTGCCAAAAAAAATACATCAAAGTAAGCTAACTAAATAAATACTAAATGAATAATCTAAAGCACTTGGAATAGAATCTGTCCAAATGAATAATTTGAAGCACCAACATAATAAATACTAAATGAATAATCTGAAGCACTAGGAATAGATCTGTCCAAAATAGAATCTGTCCAAAATACTTCAAATGCATCAAATAATCTGAAGCAGCAGAAAGAAATAGAATTTGTCCAAAATACATCAAATGCTAGAAATAGAATCTGTCCAAAACACATCAAATGCAATAAGCAGTATTGCCAAAAAAATTCCACCTACTGCCACCATCCAAAGAAATAACCACTTAGTTTGTGACCATCCATTTTCAGTCTATCATAATTACAGACAGTAATCCATCAAAACATTTACAAGTATAGTTATCCCAATCACTATCCATGTGCAAAAATATTTGTTCATAAAGTCAAAAAGAAGAGTACTGATTTATGCTAATTGTATAAAACCAAAAGTCAAGAAAGTCAGTTAACTCCCTATGAAACCAAAAAGATCGAGGCCTGCAAATACAAAAAACATAGAAGATGAGAACACGTTGCAAATAGATTTTATTAATTAAGAAGTAAAAATTAAAGATATAGAATTGAGTAACTTTACCAAGCCATACTAGAGTGTGATAATATTTGGGCTTGGGTTTGAGGTTGATGCCAATTCAGAAAGAGCTACAAGCAGTAGAACAATTAATCCAAATTTAAAACAATGTTATGTTGTATTTAGTACAAAACATAAATATAAAAATAAATCAAAAAGTTACCTGCAGGGTCATATTGTTCAAGTTCCTCCACATCATCCATTGCCTTCCGAAGAGAAATAGGAACTATGCTTTGAAGCCAATTCTGTGTACATATCATAGCCTCCACCATCATTGGAGATAATGAACTACGAAATGGGTCTAAAATGCGTCCTCTTGTACTAAAGGCTGATTCAGAAGCTACTGTAGAGACGGGTATTGCCAAGACATCACGTGCAACCTGGGACAACACTCTATACTTGGAAGAATTGACCTTCCACCATCCCAATATATCAAACTTTTCTTCATTGGAAGCTTCACACCTGTTTGCCAAGTACCTATCAACCTCAGATTTACACAGACTAGAGCATTCTTCTTCCATATAAGTATTAAATTGAAAAGCAATTAATTGATGTGGATCATCACAATCATCATCAACCTTCATCGTTGATCCTTCACACACATTAGACATTTCGACAGTTACCGAATCATGAGAAGCATAATGCTCATACAAACGAGACAAACAATTCTTTACCTGTCCTGTCATCTCATTCACCACTTTTTCAACAAGCAATTGTGCAAAACAGAATTTCAAATACCTCAGTTTCTTCCTAGGATCAAGTAAAACAGCAACATACACAAGTAAGTTGATTTTCTCCCCATTACCCCAATACTTTTCAAATTTTTCTTTCATGTTTTGTGCCATTGTGGACAAAAGTTTGTCATCCTTTTTGATTAATTGCTCTATCTTGGTTTGGATGACAAACATCTCATCAAAGAAGCAATTGGAAGTAACAAAAAGAGAACCTGAAAATCGTTTGGTTGCATTGTAAAAAAGTTTTAAGAACTTTAAAAAAATTCTGCAATTATTCCAATCTCTTGCTGTTGGAGATCTCCTTGATTTCTTCCTCCCATTTTCCCCATCCCCATCTTCATCCCCAAACACCTGCCCATCTCCATCCTCACCCTTGCAAACCTTGAAGTAAGCTCGGTAATTAGAGTCCTCATCCTCTAATCTCTCAAGCCTTTTCAAACTTTTCAGCAGCTTCCAACATTAGGTAAGTGGAGTTCCACCTAGTTGGCACATCAAGACACACAAGACTTTTCGACACAATTTTTTGTTTCTCAACACACTTCTTAAAAACTTCATATCTATTGGGAGAGGACCTTACATACCTCACAGCTTCACGAACTCTAGCAATGGATGTATGAAGCTCTTTCAAACCATCTCCCACTATAAGGTTCAGAATATGCGCACAACAGCGCATGTGTAAGAACTCATGCCCCAAAACAGTCCCTTTCCAGTCCCTTGTTTTCCGCTTTAAAAACTTAATTGTGGTGTTGTTGGAACTAGCATTGTCTACAGTCAATGTAACTATGCTACCAATATTCCATTCGAGTAAGCACATTTCAAGTTTTTTACCAATTGTCTCTCCCTTATGATCTTCCACTTGACCAAAGTTTATGATTCTTTTTTGCAATTTCCAATCATCATCTATGAAGTGGGTTGTGAGACACATATAGTTTAAGTTTTGAGTTGAGGTCCACGTGTCAGTGGTAAGGCAAATTCTACGCCCTTTCAATACTTTCCTTAACTTATCCCTCTCATTGTTGAAAATCCCTACAATGTCTCTAGCAATGGTAATATGAGATGGAATGTTCTTAAACTTTGGTTGCAAAATAGCGCAAAATCTCTTAAACCCTTCACCTTCTACAAACCTAAAAGGTAATTCATCAAACACTATCATCTCAGCAAGAGCCCTTCTTGCAGCTTCTACACTAAAGCTCATTGCCACAAGATTAACACCCTCATCTCCATCTTTTTTGGACTGAAAAGACAAAGTTTGTTGTCCATTATTATCCAGATCTTTGTGAGGATATTTTCGACAAGAAGTCAAGTGACTCAACAAGTTGCTTGTCCCATGCCCCTTCGAATCAGCCAAATACTCCTTTTGACAATATTTACAAACAACCATAGTTACCCCATCTTCAGCCTTGATTTTATCAAAATGATCCCATGCCCTTGAAGGTTTTCTCCCAGTACCTTTTGTACGCACCTTAGGTGGTTTTGAAGGATTATCAATAGGGTCTTGGATAGTAGAAGGGGGAATAACAGTAGCATCCTGGGCAATATGCTGATTTGGATGATCCATTATCTATTACAAATTAAAAAGAAGAAGAAGAAGAAGAAAGAACCTCATGAAAGATTGCATAAACAATTTAAAAAGCAATGATACAAAAACATGACAAACTTAAACAAAAATCATAATAGCATGTAAAAAATAATAGACATTTTGAAGCTACTTTAAAACCAATTCCTGAGAAAAGTGAAAAAACAAAAAGCTCAAAGTTTATTTTTTTACACAGAATAAACAAAAATCATAATTGCATTTAAAAAATAATAGACATTTTGAAGCCACTTTAAAACCAATTCCTGAGAAAAATAAAAAAACAAAAAGCTCAAAGTTTATTTTTTTACACAGAGCACATTAAACCTTTAATAATCAATACTTGTACAAATCAATATGAACACATTAAACAGAACATAACAATCAATATGTTCAAACAGAACACATTAAACCTTTAATAATCAACATGAACACATATTTTCAAACAGAACACAGTAAACCTTTAATAATCAATATGAACACATTAAACCTTTGAAAAACTCAAGCATTATTAATTTGAATAAAGGACATGTTAAACAACAGAACAATCAATATGAACAGAAACATTTTAAACTGAAAAATAAATTGTTATTGACATCTACTGAAAAATTTAAACATTTTAAATTGAAAAATAATGAACAGAAATAGTTCAAATAAATTGTTAATGGAAACTGAAAAATTTAGCACCATCATATTCAGTTCTCATGAAATGATAATCAAATACGTATATGATATCTACCATATTTTAGCACTAAAAAAAAAACCAAAATCTCAAGAAAAAAAAATAATGTAAAACAAATAGTACCTATTTGAAAAATCTTTCTGTTTCCAGGGCTGAAAATCTGAATTGAAAATCCGAGTTCATGCAATGAGATAGTGAGAAGACAAAAACAGAGAGTGCGTAGGTGTATGTATGTAATACATGTGTGTTTTTACTTTTGAAGGGCTGAAAATATGAATTGAAAATCCGAGTTCATGCAATGAGACAGTGAGAAGACAAAAACAGAGAGTGCGTAAGTGTATGTACATAATACATGTGTGTTTTTACTTTTGAGTGAGAGAGAGAGAGAGAGAGAGAGAGAGAGAGAGAGAGAATAATTTGTGAATGGGTTGGAAGGTTTGAGTAAACATTATTAAAACAGTGATGAACCATTAACAAAAAAAATTACAACATTTTCATAAAATTGTACTTGTGAGAGAGACCATCTTCATCTGCCGTTTGATTTTTTGAGATACAAGATGATGGTTTGAAATCTATCACTGTGAAACAAAGAGAGACAGAGAGAAGGGACAAGGGGGTTGGTGAGATCATCATCATGGTCTGTCTTTTGAGTTCTTTGAGATAGAGAGAGATAGGGTGTTGGAAGTTGTGTGTGTGATTTGTCAAATCAATTAGAGAAATACATATAGAACCATCATCAGAATTCTGTATCATTAATTTATTAATAATATACAGTCGGTTCGATTTTAATTATTTTTTATTATGTAGAACCGAAATCCGACAGAAAATCGAAATTATTTTTGAAACCAGGCCCGCCTTCGACCGAAACTAAGCTCGAAACCGTCCGTCATGCATTCCGGTCAGTCGGTTCCGGTCAGATTAGTCGGATGAACACCCCTAACATAGACAAC